TGCCCGCCGGTTCTTCGTTGCCCTACCACCATCGTCACTGTCGCTGGACCACCACTACTCGAAGACCACTATCACGCCTCTGGACTACCTTCACACAATAACTATCACTTGGCCACAATCATCGCCGCCAACGGACCATCATTTTTAGGTCATCACCGCAGCTAGACCACCGCTTCTTGACCACCACCATCACAACAACCATACCACCGTCGTTTGGATTTATAATTGCTTGTCAGATGAGGTTAATCAACTACTTTCTTAAGAGAATATGAGAGCATCATCATGACTACTACAAACCTTAATCACCTCAAGTCTGGTCAGCCAACCCAAGTACAGTCATGTTGATTCTATAGTTATGAAAATAATAAAAACATGATTTATAGTTCTTATCTTTACCATTAAGATGAGCTCAGTAATCATAGAACCCAAGTTCTCAACAATTATAATTATAAGCTTAAATTAGGATTACAAAATTATTTTTTAGCTTAGTATTTTATTAAAACTAATCAATTTTTTTTGTATTTTATTTGTCTAATTCATAGCTTGCTATCAAATTTAATTCCGTTAAATTCATCTTATTTGATAATGATAAATTATATGTGATATACTTATTCATTATATCTAAATTATTAAATAGATTAACATTTAATTTAATAATTTATGTAATATTTTATTTCACATTTTCATTTCTCTTCTATTGCCCAAGCTTTAGAAAATCAAATTAGCTCGCAACGGCAACGCTCTTTCAAATTTCTTGATATATTAATATAGTATAACGATTTCCATTTTTTTTCTCCAACGGTAACATTAGCTAATAGCTTTGATATATTAATATATTATATTTTGTCTACATTTCATTGTAGTCAACAATATTTATTATTATTATTATTTTTAATCACAACGGTAATGATTATTTGTTATATATATATTATATTTAATTAATTGGTTGTTTAATTTGAGATTTTAATCCGATTTGCATTGAGAAAGTTTGTGGATATTTTTAACCATATATTTAAGAAAATTACTTCAATAAAAAAGTGTTTGTTTTCTTTTGGGAATAGAGACCAATAAAAAGTTTATAAATCTCCCTCTCTCCCTCTCAAACATGAAAAAATTTTTACATCCGGATGAGGTTGGTGCAGATGCGTCAAGATTTGGTGATATTTTGTGATATTTTAGTAGTATTGATGATATTACAGTGCAAAATGCCACCAATATTATCTAAATATCACTGTCATATCTAAGATTTCATGATTTAATAATCGCTCCTCAAACACACACTCACCCGTTCTAATAAGATTTATGGTCCGTTTAGGGTAGCTTATAAGTGCAGGCGGCGTTTTCAAAACGCCGTCGTACCGTTTGGTTCGCGTGTTTCGCCAGCTTATCTGAAACTGTGTTTGGGTTTTACACTGAAAGCAGAAGGCAGGCCGCGGGTCAACCCCCGCAGCCGGCCCGCGGGCCGTGTTTCAAGATAAGCAGCTTATTCTGAAATGCACAAGCTGCCATAAACGGACCCTTAGAGATATGAGCACATGTACAACATACAATAAAGTGTTATTCGATAATTGATATTTTGTTATAAGATGTTTATAAGTTTTATTTTAAAATTTTTTTTTTATATAAAATCTAGCATTATCAAATTTGAATATTATTTTTGCCATTGCTTCGAAAAGGAAAGACAAAAAATTTTGAGTGTTAGAAATATGTATTCAAGTTGTGAGGATTTCTCCATCCACATTAGATATGAATAAGATTTTATGTGGGCGGTTAAATCATAATATCTTCGTTTGAATAGATGTGGATGAATAGGCCGGAGGTCAAATCATCTAAACATTATTTGTGTGGCTCATATGTTATGCGTCATTATGTCATAATCTTTATCATATCATAACCTAAATTATTATATATTTATTAAAATAAAAATAATAATTTTAGTATGCTGATTAACACGTTCTCATGGGGTATCATAACAACCAAGTCAACACTATTTTAATTTTGTATTGTGAAGTTTTTAAGGCATCTGGGTTCTATTAATAGATGATTAAGACTTTATCCTATTAAAATAATGGATAATATATACTTAAGAAATTAATTTAATTAACCATGCAAAAATCTCATGGCATTTTAGAATTTAATATATACTTAAGAAAATATTTTACTTAACCATGCAAAAATCTCATGGCATTTTAGAATTTAAAACTCCTAATATTAAAGGCCATCCTAAGTATGATTTTATCATATTTATACTTGAATTGAACATATTAACAAATAAACTTGATAACTTTGAAGGTGATCCAAGTTAAGCCCAAGAGCCGAGAATTAAAATTTATAGCACAATTAGAGTTTTTTACGCATTAATTAAAATATTAAATGCTTTTCAAATCTGTATGAGATGAATAAAAAAACCTTAATTCCTTTATGACAAGCCCAAGAGCCAAGAATAAAAATTTATAGCACAATTAGAGTTTTTTAAGCATTAATTAAAATATCAAATGCTTTTCAAATCTTTATGAGATGAATAAAAAAACCTTAATTCCTTTATGACTAAGGTACTCAAACATTTTCTAAAGATCATCCAATCAAAATGATCATTCATAAATATCGTCAAATTTTATGAAGGTAAATCCATAATGATATGTTTATAACTTTGAAGGTGTTCTAAAATTTGACGATTTTTATGAATGATGCCACGCCATAAAAAGTTGAATAAACATCAACTCTCAATATTTTAAAGGAGCTGAAATAATATTGAAGATGTGGGACTGCTTGGTGATTTGAAGGATTCTTGAGCTTTGATCAGCCATCATTGTTAACCCACAATCACTAATACAACATCTTCGAATTGTTGCCATTAATTTATCTACTACTATCGGAACGCCCCCGCCAAATCATTGTTGTTAAACTATCATCATCATCATTGAACCATCACTATCAGACACCGCTAAGAAATTATCATCACTCGCCAATTGCTATTGGATCACCATTGTTAGGTCAGACATCATCAAACCACTTCACCCATCCACCATCATTTAATCTTCATCATTTTTAGATCGCCCCCATCATTGGACATTTATTGTCCAATCACTTTCATTGATTTCGATTATGGTTGCTTAACCTCAGTACTTATCTATAGTCACTTGACCTCCATAGCTAGACTATAGTCACCAGATGAATCATGCCTGGCTCTGGTCACTTGAACATTGTCATACAACAATAATTATTCAATCTCCATCTTCAGTCAACAATCAACCAACTTTTGTTGCATGTTTATGGTTTTCCTATCTTTATAGTTCAATTGTATCCACACTTATTCCCGACTGCAATCACTAGATCTTTATCAACACACTATAATAGTTTGAACTCCACCCCTCAATTACAACCATACAAACATTGGTACTCAATTGTAGTCATCTGACTATCATTGCTTGACCACCGTTGCTGACTCACAATCACTCAAGAATGATTATTTGATGATCATTACCCATCTATAGATGCCCAACTATTACTATCCAGCTATGGTCATATCTGACGACTGTCACCAAAATAAAATCATAAGACCACTGTCACTCGACTACAATCATCAAAACACCATTCCATATGTATGATAGCTCAACAACCATTGCCTGAATACAAATATCTAATCATGATCGCTTGTATATAGCTACCCAACCTTAATTACATAATCAAAACCTCCAAACCAGAATTGCTTGCTCACAACTGCAAACATTTGCTACTCATTTATAATCCTCAAAGCATTATTGCCAATCCGCAAATGGCCAAACACTATCTCCGAATAATATTCATCCATACACTATTACCAAACTATAATTATCTCGCCATTATCACCCAACTACAATTGCCCAATTTTTATTACTCGTCAGCAATCAACTAATGTTTGTTTTTAAAGAACATGTGCTCCCTCTACCATTGACATAAAAAAACATGAGCGCGTCTTTCACTTAATGATGATCTTTAAACGACCATTGATCCATTATGATTGCCTATTTATGATCGTTAAAACATTGATGGTCGTCAAAAGTCTATCAACCATCAACAACTGTAGGCTTTATTGTTTGTCATCACATCTAAGATTTGATACGTGTTGTTCACATACACCTTTACCTATAAGATCAATGCATGCCATCGATGATGCCAGTTGTAGCTTACAAGGTTGATGCCAATTATCGATTTTGTTATAGATACCCACCAACCTCATTAATTATCATTGTCGACAGTATTGACATGCATGCTCATCAATAAGGCCAATGTATGACATTCACATCAATTTTATACTAAATTTTTTTATCTCTTAGCTCATCTCACAACAAACAATCTCTTGAAGACTCCAAACTTCTTTCTATATAAGGCATGCAACTATGATACATCAGTATCTTCCTCAATTCAAAACCCTATTATCTCTTCTTGCAATTTTTTTTTTAATGTATGCTTGTTTTATGCTTTCATAGAGAAATAAAACATTAATCTCTCATTCTATCATTCTATCGTTGTAAATTTTGTTGTACACAATAATCTTGATGAAACTAGTTTATTGTTAAATAGGAAAATATTTGATTAGAGGGGCAGTTATATAAATATAAAAGATCTTAAGAATATTGACATACTCATCACCCAAACCTTATGCATTTACCTATCTCACACATAAACTTCAATTTTTATGGAAAAAACACCTTACCTATACATAAAAAGATGTATTTCATTGTTCTCACTGTGGGAAAATAAATAAGTTAGGCGTTGCGCCCATAAAAATTGAAGTTTGGAAAAGTGATACGGAAATACATAGAAGTTGGGGGCTGCTTATGCAAATTCCCCAAGATATTAATGCCCATCATATATTTTTAAAAATTAGAAAGGTACCTTGATTCAAATAAAGATTTTTTTTTTTCTTAACAAGTATTAAAAATAAAACAATTACATATTATGTTTGTAAATAAAGGCCAATAAATGTAAGAATTCTCCACTATTTAACAACCTCCCCTTCCAAATTAAGTTTCATCTCCGTAGTGACCACATCCCATGGCAACCAGATTCCACAGCCACCTCCATCGCTACCTCCTGCAACCTCCAAAAGTAAACTACATAGCATCCTCCCTCTACCTCTCTCTCTCTCTCTCTCTCTCTCTCTCTCTCTCTCTGATCTTTAACAGAAATTGAGTCAATTGCAGGACAAGAAAGGGGAGGCGGAAGAAGCTCTTCCCGGCCTCACCGACCTCATGAACGACTGGCTCTTCGGTCATCAACCCTACAACATGAAAGGAGGAGAAGCAGCCATAAAAATACAGCCCAAGAAAGAAATAGGCCGCGGGGAACGACCTCCCCCGTTGAGCACGAGCAGGCTGACGCAAGACTGGCTTGAGGAGGCCAAGAGGATGGTTGCGGCTGGCACAGCATCGCGCCACACTTCTCCTGTCCGCTCCGCCGGAAGCCGAAGGTTCGTTGCTGCTTCTCAGGCCAAGGAGCTCTCGCCGCCGCTTGATAAGCGGGACGCGCTTTCTAGATCGGCAAGAAGGTATCCATTTGTTATAATTATTTAAATTGGCTTATAATATAATTTAGAGCCCGTTTGGTCCAACTTATAAGTGCAGCAGCGTTTTTGAAAACGCCGTCTAACCGTTTGCTTTGCTCATTTTTGAAAACGTTGTCTGCTGCATTTAGATTTTTTATACTAAACGCATGCCGTTGGTCGACCCGCGGGCCGCGTTTTTATCCTGAAACGCACAAACTGCTCCAAACTGACACTTAATTATATTGTTTAATAATTTAAGTTATATTTATCTTTTGAATTTAGGGAAATTTATATACATGATGTCCAATTCTTATGCATTTAGATATCTTGCATCTGAAAGTGAATAGTCCTTTGCTTGGCATGTAAAAATGAAGGTTTGGGTGCAGGATATGTAAATGCATAAGAATTGAGTGGTAAGTTTGTAAATTTCCCTTAAATTTAATGATATTATCAAACATTTGGTAATATATAGAGATAATACGTTACACAAATTAAGAACATATATTACAAAATTAAAACATCAATGGCTTGGGTGACCTTTTTTTTTGTGATTGAAATCAGAGTTTAATAGAGTGGTCTTTCCTAACAATGAAAGCATTCTACCTCTACAATTGGCCTAATTTAGTCTCTTAATTATTTTCTAGTTCGAAAAATTAGAATTTAGTGCTATTTGGCATCAGATACTCAAACAATTTAAGCAGCTTCTCTCTGCAGGTGGTATATAATTTATAAAGTGCATGAGGACAAAAGCGTTGATAAATATAATCTATAATGATTTGGAAGGCCTTTCTTGCATGTATAAATAAATATATATATATGAAAATTTGCAAGGAAATTGATTATATTGAAAAGTATCAGAAAGAGAAAAAAAAAAAAACGTTTTTTTTTTTTCTTGTAAAAAATGATTAATTTTGTAGTCTTGCAAACCATAAATTATAGTTTTTAGAATTTTTGATAGAGTTAACAACAGAAATATTTTTTTATCTATTATTAATATAATTTTATTTCAAATTATTTGCATATGTAATTAAATTTTGCACAAGTTTTTTTTTTTTTTCCACAATTTTCTGTTCTTATACACCATAAATCACAGTTATTAAACTGCATGATAAAATAAAAAAGTTAAAAGTTCTTTTGCTATGCCAATCTGTGCAATTTTTTTTTTGAATTATTTACATGTATTGTTAATTTCGATATTTATTAATATTTGGGTATTAGTTTAAAACAATATGTTTTTGGTATGAAGAGTGAGTGTGCTCCCAATTTCAAAGCGGGTGTCAAGGGGGAGAAGATGGGAAATAAGTGGTGGGGAGATAGTGGCATAAAGAGCTGTGCCTAGATTCTAGTGTATCGAAATCCATACTTAATAGTCTGGGTTATGAAAAAAATATTACCTCAGGAGTACTGATGTATCAGTACTCTAATGGTGGGGTGACACGTATGCAATGGTCCCACCGTGGCGCCACGTGACATCCCACCATTAGAGTACTGATGCATCAGTACTCCTGATGTAATATTTTTTCTTGAGTTAAGGCCAAAAAAAGCTCTCACCATTTGATAAAAGGAGGTATCAATGTGCTCTCCTTGGTGATTATAGTTGTTGACATCTGAAGAATCTCTAGAGCTCATAGTGTTGAGGATGAAATGATAAGTTTGGGAGAAGAAGGGAGAGGGAAATGGTATTCATGCGAACTGAAAAACTGCAAGACTAGGAAGAGCTGAAAAACTGCTATGATACTATGTTAAAATCGGAAGAAATTGAGAGAAAACAGAAAAGAAATATCGAAGCACTTTAATCTTATCTTCATTAGTAACACATAATGTATATAGTTAAAGTTACAAAATCTTTTTCATCTTTTTATGTTGCTATCCTACCGCTATAATTTACTTATTGATGGCAGTGGGGTAGGACCTTGTATAGCTTTTAAAATACACTTCACATTAATGTCATGTTTTATTAGATAAAAATTTTAGGATACTAAGAGAAATAATTACATCTATTACAATCAACATCACATTGGATCGTATGATCATAATATTTTTCCTGGTTTTTTTTTTTTCACTTAATAAATTATCTTCATTACATTTTTTAGAAGTAATTTGTAGCAACCCCCCATAATCAAATACCATGGTGCAGGACCAGAGCCACCGAGGGCCTCAGCGAGGAGATTCTCCAGCGATCGTCGGCACGGCACAATCGCAACAGGTCGGATTACAACTTCGCCGCCGACTACTCTTCACCTCCCGCCAGCCAACAAGCCTCCCACCGTTACGACCAGCTCGATGTTGCTCCCTTTCCGATTGGCAGTCTCCCTCCAAAGCTTCCTCCGGTCTCCAGATCCCGCTTCCTTGAAAGAACCCAGGATGCTACTCCACGCCGCAGCTTCCGCACTCCCTCTCCTTCATCTCGTTCTCTGTCGTCTCTTCCGCCGGACAATCTCTCCCCGCAAACACCCCCGCCGCTTTCCCCGCCCCGAAACCTGTTCAAACCCTCCCTCCGGAGGACCATCTCCACTTCAACTTGCTCTATTGACATGGAATCTACTCCCCGGAGATCTTTCTCCAGCGGCCGGAGGCCTTCGGTGGAGTTACAACGGGAGGAGGACATCAAGAAGATCAACGAGTTCCTCCGCCGGCAAAGGGCAACGATCGCTATGGCTTCGGATGGTGAAGTCTCCGTCAAGGCAAAGATCGTCCTGTCATCGTATACCCCCGGTTGAGATGCTTATCCGCTTCCATCGAATCTTCATTTTATGAATCTTTTGTTCGCTGATTTTGACCGTGAATGTCGCCTTTTCATTTGATGCAGACGCTAGTTCAATGGTGGCTGCTATTTGTTATTCGTGGTTGTTGGAGAATATGAGGGAGAGGGATAAGACTCGTATCAAGGATGAGGTTGTGGTGCCGGTGATCAACATGAGGAGAGCAAGGATGTGGGAGCACAAGCAAGCAGCTTGGCTGTTTCATCACATTGGAATCGATGCTTCTGCCTTGATCTTCTCAGATGAGGTCCTAAACTTTTGCACCTATTTCCCAAATTTGCTTTTTTTAATGAAGTTATTTTTCACATTCTGCTATGGTGGGGAAGTTAGAGGAAGTTGGGCGTATGATACACTATTTGCATTACTTTTGATAATGCTATCATCTGAAGTCTTCTTTTAAATGGGAAACAGCTTGATTTGGAGGGTCTTTTAATGGGCAAGCAGCTAAATTTACTTATTGTGGGACAAGATGTTCTGCAAACAAATGGCGAGGTAATTATTAAATTCTCACTTTCTAAGAGGATATATATGTTATCTTTTGCTTTAGTTATACTTATTATGCCCCTTTCAGCAGGTTGGGTCTTTGTGTACAGTTCTAACCGATAACTACTGTGAAGATGCCTATGATCTACTTCGGTCTCCCAACATAAAAAAACTTCTAGTATGCGTTCTTCAAGCTTTCTGTTATTGTGCTCCATTGGTATACCTCCATAACTAAATAGTTATACTGCATGCAGCTTGCAGGAATTCTATTAGATACTAAAAATCTTAGCTTTGCTGCCAAATCATCTACAAATAGGGATGCTGAAGCTGTGCAATTGCTCTTGGTTGGCTCTTCTCCTGATTACAAAGATTTTTTATTTGAGCAAGGTGCGCCTTTTTATGTGAGAAATAAAATTGCTGTTTAGAATTTTGGCTTGTGTATTGATAACATGATTTCCATGTTGTTAACAGTTACGAAAGAACGTGGAGAAGAATCTTTTCTCGAAGCTTTGAGACAAAATTATGGGAAACTT